GGCCCTTGCCGGCCGTCCGACAACTACTCTCGAGCAATCTGACCTCAACTGACTTAAACTGACCTGAAATGAATATACATACTGAATTCATGAAAGTTACACAATAAATCGATCATGGCCGTGGCGAGCGCACCTTGTGTCGCCGACGGCGTTAAGCCGTCTCTCGACCGACTTGACTTTTACCTCGGCAACTCAATATCAACTGAACATGAACATCATTTACTGAACAAAATAACACGAAGGGTTCGAAAGACTTGTGCTTAACACGCCCGCTACAAGTGCCCGACCCGTGGTGCGCGCTACGTGCGCGACCACGTCCCATTGGCCGAAACACCGTATAAACATGAACATACTTCGAGCAATCTAAACTGACTGATCATGATATCGCATAAAATTACTAAACATGCGAAGGTTGTTTGGAAAATTTGAATTAAAACATAACATGACTCGACACGGTTACTCGCATGGCTGAACCTATACGCGACACGCATGCAAGCTTGAACTGAAAGCTGAACTTAAAGAACATGCTAATCTTAGCCTATAATCACACGGGAATTACCTTCGATTATGCTCAACTGACAGAAATTCCTCGAACTCCCGTGCTCGTGCGTGGCTCTCCGCGTGCTTTGCGTCGCCGTGCAGTGCGTGCGATGCTAACTCGCGTACGGTGGAGCTGACTGCCGTGCGGTAGGTATTATATGGGAAACACTCTCACAACTCTCTCAAGCTCCCTCTCGGCTTAGTGTATACTTTGGGAAAATGTAAGGAAAATTTCTCCCAACTTATCTATTATATACATGACCGATCCAAAAGCTTGAGGAGGTGGGATTTGTGGCTTAAAGAATTAATAATACTTGTCATAAGATAAAAGAGATTAAGATGATTAATCACCTCATAAGCCCTTTTATATTGCCACGTGCATAAGCCTAATGAGAAGGAAAATAATTCCTTTAGCTTAAGGAATTAATTACGGCCTTTTGGACAATTCCACTCGGCTTAATGACATAAACACGTGATTAATATTTAATTAATCACTTAATTATGTTTAATTAACTTTTAAGCATAATACTTAATTACTAAAATTATTCCGAACGTAAACGGAACGTCGAAAATAATTTCTGGTAATCTCGACTGAAAATAATAATCGACAACGTTATTATATCGGAACTAAAAACATGATTTATATTAATAAACTGACGGGATATTACAATCCTCCCTCCTTAAAAATTTCCGTCCTTGGAAATTCTAAACATAACTGAATATACATGAACTATGTACATAAAACAAGGAAATATGTACATCAAAACTGAAAATCTGGAAAACGAGTGCGAATATCAGACTCCGCCTCCCAAGTAGCTCCGTGGCGATCCCACTGAATACGCACGAGGGGAACATCTCGCTTCCGGACCCGACGAACCTGACGGTCTAGTACAGCTACCGGTCGCTCCTCATACGAAAGATCTGACTGAACCTGAATATCTAAATGGGGAATAACATGATCGGGGTCGCACACGTACTTACGCAACATAGATGCGTGAAATACATTATGAATGCCTGATAACTCGGGAGGTAGGGCTAATCGATACGCAACCTCGCCTACTCGCTCGAGAAACTCGAACGGGCCAATGAATCGCTTAAATGTAGGTGTTTGAGGAGTCGAGCCGTCATCCTACGTACTTGTGATTG